ATATATATATATATATATATATATATATATATATAAAATCTATACATATATCTATATCTATCCATCTCATATATATATTAGATCTGGATTCAGGGTATAAATGCAAATGCATTACAGCTGTTGAAACATTGTTGCCCTTTTTATGATATTATATATTTATTAAAATATATAATTATAGGGCTATTGTGTGTATGTGTTTTATATATATATATTTATATTTCATACATATTGATGTATTGTTATATATTATAGCAAAATATACTCTTATAGCACTGTTATTCAACTTACTGCTATGGCTGTTTCCTGTGGGATCCTGGATCCAGAGTATAAAAATGAATGCAATCCAGCTATTGATAAGGCTGCATCCACACTGCAGAAATAATCCAGTCTGACGCCACTTTAAGTACCTTGGTTCAGTGCTATGGAATCATGGGATTTGTAGTTTGTGCACCTGAGCTCTCCAACAGAGAAGGCTAAATGTCTCAGAAAACTAGAGTTTCCAGAATTCCATAGCACTGAGCCATGGGAGTTAAAGCGGTGTCGGACTTCATTATTTGTATAGTGGAAGTGCAGTCTTAGATATTTGCCCATTTTTATTAAAATTAAAAGACATAGCCGTGTTAGTCTGGGAAATCAGTATGCAGAGGGAGCTTGTAGCACCTTTGAGATGTGAAAGGTCCCTAAGACCTAAAACGGAAATAAAATCTGTTTTACTATTTCTATTTGTGGCAACCCCCTAGAGAAAAGGCATCAGACAACATATTACAGGTGCACCTTGGTTAACAAAGTGGATGTGCTCCTGGATATTCCTCCTTTAACAGAATATTTGATATCAGAGGCAGAAATAACCTGGAAACAACAAGGCTCAGTTCCTACATCACAAAACAGAAAGAGCAGTTGAACTGCCAACTTTTATTCTCAACTTAGAATAGGCACATATATAATGAAAAAGCCAGGTCAGGAAAACCTTACATGAGTAAAGAAAAACATTTTGAACTTTCTAGAGACTGCCTGAAGGCTTCTTCCAAAGTGCGTCCAAAGATGACTTTGTCTTTTACCATCTTTATTATTATTATTATTATTATTATTATTGGCCTGTTGATAGCCCCCGTCTACCCCAAGAAAGGTAGATGCCTCGCCTCTAATTACCTCTAATTTTAGCCAATTTGTTATTTCTTCTTCTTTTAATTCGTATTTTTTTAATATGGATGCTGGCTGTGAAAGTCTTTGACGTCACTTCTTGTAGCACCTTTGAGACTAACGAAAGAAAGAAGTTGAAAGCATAAGCTTTCGTAGACTTCAGTCTACTTCCTCAAATGCACCAAATGCATCTGAGGAAGTAGACTGAAGTCTACGAAAGCGCATGCTTCCAACTTCTTTCTTTCGTTAGTCTCAAAGGTGCTACAAGGCCTCTACGTACTGTAAAAAGGAGCTTCAAGTTCAAAGGCTTTGTTAACTAAAGTATGCATGTCATTTGAAAATGGCCTTACAAAAAAGTATTTAAGGGTCTGAAAGCACATGATGCAGCAATGTTGTTGAAGCTAAATAAATCTAGATCTGTTAATGCTGGTGTGGGAGTTTGCTTAGGAACTCTATGTACAATTGCCTCGAGGTTGAAAAGTTGTGCGCTCCTAGATTAGATCAATGAGAAGCTTCTGGTTCCAGAAAAGTCCTTAAGAGAGATTTAGACAACTGATAAATACACTCAAGGTTGCTCTGAGTCCCTCTTTTTGCGTGGATTTGCCGCCCCCCTCCTGACTTTGTTCTACTACTGTCTTTGCACAGCTGCAAAATTATATCTGGAATCTGTGTCTTAAATATTTCTAAAAGCAATATGAGACAAGGAAGTTCAGAGCGCTGGATGAAAACAGGCTCACATCCAGGATGTGTTTGTTGAACAGGAACAAAAGGCTGGTTAATCATTTCACCTTGGAGAAAATTCCTGGAATCTTCAATGCCAAAGTCAGGAATCTCATAACTCCGCCGGCTTTTAATCACCGAGGAAAGAGATCTGTATTTAAAACATTTCATTTTCAAGGCAATTTGGGGGCCAGGGCCACGTTCAGATTGTTCTTTTCAATGTAGTTTCTCTCTGCCTTTTTGACGGAGAAAAGGTAATTTGTGCAAAAGGTATTATTAGTGTATTGAATGCCTTCACACTGAATTCATTTTCTAGTGCTTCTCGAGTGCATTCCTAAGGGCATCCGCCTCCAAAATACTCCAGGGTTGCTGGTTAAATAAGGATAACTACAAACAATAAATAGTACCAATGTGGGGAGGAATCAATTAAAAGATGTAAAAGCTTCACAGGATCTTCCAATTGGTAGCTATAGGAGAACAATCTGAAAGTATTGGGGGGGGAGGGTCCCCATAAGAATTTCCCTGCCATACATGAAATTTTCTTTCAGTCCTCCAAATTTCTAGCGTTGCAGTCACTGAATGCAGTTTAGACCGAATCTACCCTGCAGGACTAATGCAGTTTGACACCACTTTGACTGCCACGGTGCAATGATGTAGGATTCTGCAATTTGTAGATAGAAATGCTTAGACTTCTCTGTCTGGTGACACAACAAACTACAAATCCCAGGATTTGATAGGATGGAACCATGACACTTAGAGCAGTGTCAAGTTGCATTCATTCTGCAGTGGGCAGCAGCCTTAAGCGTCCAAAAGAAAAGGGGCAGGCAGTGTGGCGTAGTGGTTTGAGCCTTGGACCGCAACTCTGGAGACCAAGGTTCGATTCCCAGCTTGGCCATGAAACCCACTGGATGACCTTGGGCAGGTCACATGCTCTCAGCCTCAGAGTAAGGCAATGGCAAATCTCCTCTGAACAAATCTTGCCAAGAAAGCCCCATGATAGTGTGCCTTAGGGTCAACAATGACTTGAAGGCACACAACAATAACAACAACAATAACGTTACCAAGAGAATGCAAACCTAGGAAGTATAAGAGTTCTGGGCGTAATTTCAGTGCATAAAATTTGGGGACCAAAGGAAAATTTCATGGGGTGGCAGAATTTTTCTTTGGAGGACAATGCCCTCATTTTGCCCAATGCCACTGTTTTGGAGGAAGCATTGTCCCTGCATAGCTACATCCCTTTCTCTAGGCAACATCCTCCTGAAAGCATTTGGAAATCCCAACCAATATTTGCTTGGCTAAGTGTGGACAAATTTTTGTGTGTTGACCTGAGATTCTTTTCCCAACCCCTAGATCTGATTTGTGGTGATTCATTGGCAATAAAAAATACATGTTAATCCAGTTTGGACAAAGCACTGCTAAGGATGGTCTGGGCTCTGAATTCAAATCAGCTCACATTTATTTCCTCTATTAGTTGCTTTCTGAGCAGCAGCACCACACCATGGCCCCAGTATCAATTTTTTTCTATGGGAATGGGAAGGCTTTAATGATACATTTCATCTCAGATTTCCTTATTTTATAGCAAAATAGCCATTTCTCTATAAAAGAACAAACAATAGCAGGACACTAGTAAAGGCTCCCACCCTTTGAAGGAAGAGAAACTGACAGGGCAATTCAAGGAAAATTGTCAAGGAGCAATGAAAAGGCTATTCATCATCAACACTGTAGCCTAGATCAGCAGGAAATAAAAGAAGCCGGACTGACATATCGTCCATTTTCAATTAATATTTATTTATTTTCTGAATGGCATTTACTTGTAATTAAACAAAGCGGAAGGGACTTGCCAATAGGAAAGGGCATGGCCAGATAAAATAGCGACATGTTCAGTGCCATTTGGAAAAACATACACCTTCTTTCCATTACATTTCCAGATAAGTTTGCAAAGGCAATGTCTCAAGTGTGCTCAAGGATTCTGATGTGGAGGCAATCTGATGGTTTTATTGTTGCAAAAGTAGATCTTACATAACTGGTCCATAAAAGCTTTAAGCCACAACAGGGCTGTTATATGCCCTCCAACTGTTCCGGTTTAGCATAGGCAGTCCAGTTAATCTTCTGCTCCAACATTTTCAGCTGCTTTAAAAATGTCTCAGTTTCTCTCTTCTCCTTCCACTTGCCTGCTTTGTCCTCAATTCATTTTAATTCCTGCAAACAGATGAAGGCAATGGCAAACCTCCTCTCAAGAAATCTTGCCAAGAAAACCCTATGGTAGGGTCACCTTAGGATCCCCATAAGTAGGAAATAACTTGAAGTCACACAACAACAGCAAATATTAGTTCAAAATGCAAAGCAGTTTGCACTCAATGAATTCAGCAATTACTCAGCAGTTAACTGAGCAGTTAACTCAGAAGAGGCCAAACCTTGCCCTTCCCAGTAAGCTCATTCAAAAGCAAACTGCTGCGGCCTCTCCTAGCTCATGCGTTTTTCCTCATTAATGTCTTTTGCCTTCTTGACCACAGTCTGATGTTGTCTGGCCCCACATATCCCAGTTTTCATTTGTGAAACATTGGACAGCACACTGTTAACCATTCGGGTGCAAAATGTTTGTTTTTTCTATTCAGAAATCAGTCAGCATTTTTTCAGGACAGCGTTGTCGTATTATGTTGATAGGTTATTAGCACTTTAGGAAATTGATTGCAGAGCATACAGGAACCTCGGGAAAGGGAAGGGAAGCGAAGCTACTCAGAGACCTCTTGTTGAATATGACAAGCAGCTTGTGCATATATTTGCTGACTTGCACAAGGCACTCAGCAAATGCTTTTGAATGTGCAACTTAGTTTGGAGTGCTACTGAGCACAGCATTTGTCTCCATCCTTGCTATAACAGTGGTGGGGAGGGCAACTGATGGAATCCAGTTGCCCTCCCCAGCACTGCTATAGCAAGGATGGAGACAAATGTGGTATTTTCCAAAGATATGAAACTTAAGACTATATCACATGAGGCTTTAAGGCAGAGTTTTAAAAGGATAAAAGCCTCTTTGGCTGGTACTTATCACACAACGTCATATCTGTCCTTCTGCTGTCTTGCATTCTATTCATTACTATAGTGCATCTTTTTATTGATGGGCAAAACCTGTCAATTGGCTCCCAGTCTCACTGCATTTCCATTCCTGTCTTTGCGCGATAGGTCCCTTCTGCTGCAGTTCCACTTCTTGGGCAGTCCTGTGGTCTGAGTAAGTGTAATTCTGCTTCCCTTCCCCTTTCTCTCTCCTAGAGATCATGGCTACCAATAGCTTCCAGAAGATGGCTGCTATGTGCTCATTCACTGAGCTAACTGGTCGGTAGCTGGCTCTGCTTGTTCTCATTCTTCCTCTTGGAAAGCGGTGCTTGGCAGTGCAGAAAACAGATCCCATAATCATAGATTGCCAAAGTGTGATCATGGAGAAAACTGTGATAAGAAATGATGTCAAACTGGTATGACGAATTGAATCCCAGGATTCTATGGCAGTTAAATTGGTATCAAACTGCATTATTTCTATAGTATAGATGCAAACAGTACATTGAAGGTTTTTCCATGTCTCTTGAAAGCATTAGCATCTAATCTTCCCCTTTTCTTGGGGAAATGACAAGTCATTCTTATCAGGTCCCATATGATCATCACTTGAAGGCGGCTTATAACATTATGCCAAGGGCCACCAATGGCCACACCTGTTTCACGTCCTAGTTTTCAGCACCTATCTTTCGCTCTATCCCAGTCTCTCTCTCCATTAAGAAAGCATTTCCCCCCAACTAAAGGCTCGCCTTCCTGGTACGGCTGAAGTTATCTGTCAGCTTCCAAAGAATTCAACATACAATGTCCTCCTTTGTGGGCCTTTACATAATCTGCCCTTACATGAGACACAATAAAGCCTTCCAAGAAATAGTAAAGAAGAGTCAAGCAGCAGGTAAATAGGTAAATTATATTCTTATATTTATGGCTATTATACATGAGGAAGGGAACCTGTCCAGCATCTGGAAGACAAATAATTCTAAGCAGCATCTGCTTTATTGCTCTTAAACGTATTTATAATATCTAACACCCATTAAGTATACATGTTGCAAATGTTTTTTTAACATATAAATACAGCACAGCAGTGTTTACCTTGGAACTTGGAGTTCAAAGGACTTTTATTTTTGCAGACGGAGAGCTTCAGATCGGTTGCTTCTGAACTCCATATATTCTAAGGCATTCAGTGAGATTGCTTCAAGGTGTGAAGGATTTGAGAAATGAAGGTGAAAAGAAAGAAATTAGGATTTTTGGAACTCAAAGGAAACCCAGCTCTATGAGAAAACTGTAGGGTGACAGCTGCTACTTTGGACTGGGTGTCCATTTGGACACACAATTGTTATTTTAAAAGCACCTTGTCCTCAGCTGTTCCATTCTATTTGGCTGATGATGATGATGATGATGATGATGATGATGATGATGATGATTGTTATTATTGTTGTTATTTCTTATCTATTATTTTTTCTTATCCATTTCTTATCGATCTCTTGGATTAAGGTAGGGAACAACAGACCAACCAACGTACATCATTTAAGAATGCAACCTCAGTTAAAGCATACATCAGTTTAAAAGAACAAACAAGACGCATTTGTATTAAAAGAATCTATGCTTCAAATTTACAATTTTACACCTTACACACCATTTTGCACACTGTGTTTTGTCATCTGAAGGTCTGGTTTGTCAGGATGCCTTCATATCTTTTCCCTCACCCCTTTGTTTGGAAAACTATAGGTTTTCCTTATAGTAGAATATACGGAAGCCTTTTCGGCTATAGATCAGAGCAAGAATCTTTTATGTAAAGAATAAAGAAAGAAAACCGTAGGGCAAATTGTCTTGGGGAGTGTTCTTTGCAAAAAAGGACTGATCTACAACCCTGTCCCGCAGGTTAAAACGTGTCTTTGGATCATGTGATGTTTACTGAGACGCAGGTTCTTCCTTCACATGTTTTTTTTTTCTTTTTCTTCTTCCTGCAACTTGTTATATATAAAGATATGTAACCTTTGCTTTCCAGACAGTTTGCCCTGCAAACATCACATCCATCCAGCTTGGTCAATGGAAATGGATGATGGAAGGTGCCATCGAAACCTCTTGGAGGGCTGAAGGCTTTCCATCCAGACATAATCCATAAATGGCAGGCAGTTGGAAAGCGTGTACAGTTTCCAGTTAAAGTTTTCCAAATGCCACCGTGCTGCAAGCCTATCCATCCCATACCCTCCAACTGTCCCAGTTTGACAGGGACAATCTCTATTAATCCTCTGTCATCCCACTTTTGTCAACTAGTTTTAAAATGTCCCAGTTTCTGTCTCTTCCTCCTACTTTCTTCAGTTGCTGCAAATGGAGCTCATAGTGCAAAAGTAATTTTCATTCAGTTCACTCAGCAGCTGAGAGAGGAGTGGAAGGGCAGAATCTTGCCCTTCCCAGTAGGCTCAGTAAAAAGCAAACTGCTGCAGCATCTCTTGTGTGTTCTTCTTAATTAATAACTTTTGACATCTTGACCACACATGTCCTGGTTTTCATCTGTGAAATTTTGGAGGGTATGCCATTCGTAGGGTACCCTGTAGGGGATATATAGGATATGACTAATCTCCTCTTTGCCCTTGTTGGGACAAAGAAACATGTTCTGCTGTTGTTCCATTCTTTGATGGCAACAACAAAAAGGTGATGCTTGGACATGGCAGGTAAGAATCCATCAGATCCAAACCCCTGCCATTCCCTCAATATTTTTCCTGGAATTGTAGGGAAAAGAGAAGGAAGGACATAAGCCCAGGGCATACTTTAGGTATCACCAAAACCAACAAAACTGATTTTTTTAAAAAAAATAAAATAAAAGTAATTGTAATATACAGTGGGAAGACT